CTAATTTCCTTGTATTATTTATCTATGTTTTATTGTACCTCACTTACCTTCTTTGATTTCATAGATTTCTTTTTATTGGAATGTTGGTGGAGAATTATTGTGTTCTTTTGGAGGATGTTATGTTTCCTTGCTTTTTTATGTCTCTTGTGTTCTTTCATTGATATCTGTGCATCTACTATAATAGTCACTTCCTCAAATTTTATGGATTGTCTTTCATAGGGGAAATACTTTTTCCTGTAGATATATCTGTTCTTTTGGGTCAGGTGCTTTGGTTGTGATTCTGGATGGGTACAGTAGCATAGTTTCTGTATGATTTCTTGGGCTGTAATCAGTCATTTGTGTCTGAGAGTTTCCCAGTGGCTTAGGCTGTGGTGGTTAGTGAAGGCTGTAGTAGAGTTTTGCTGGGGATGAGGGCACCAGGTAGAGACCAGTCCTTGGACAACAGCAGGCTCCAGTCAGTGTTCTGTGCACCAAACGTAGTTGAGTCTGGACAGGTTGATTCTTAGGCCTCCAGGTAGTTTACTTGGGTACCAGCAGTGGCAACAGCATGCTGGGTAAGCAGATGGGTCCTTGGGCTCCTGGGCAATATCTGTTGGTGATGATAGGAGCAGCAGTGGGCTATCCATCTGTCTCCCAAGCAGTATGCAGAATGTATATGCAGGTGGGTGGGCTGGGGCGGGTCAGTCTCCAGGCTCCCTGATGGTGCACTTGTATGCAGCCTGTGGCAAGTGGGGCAGGCTAATCCCTAGCCCTCAAACAGCATGCTTGGGCACTACTGATTGTCGTAGCAGCAGAAAGCTGTGTAGGCTCATCCGTAGGCCCCCAGAAGGTGTGCACGAATGACAGGTGGGCGAGTCTGCTTTGAAGTTCCACTTGTGTGTATGGGTGCCAGCAGCAGCAGCCAAGGAGGGCATAATATACTGTATTTTTATTTTTTGTCTATAGGGAATAAATGTCATGTGACTTCAGAACTTCTTCTTTTTCCTTTTCTATATTGAAGAACTAAGTATTAAACAGAAAAACAACAAAAAATAAGACTGAATGATACATGCCTTGTTGATCTTGTGTTCTCTCCCTTATCCTTTTATCTCTTTGGAAATAGGCATCAGGACAATAATATCGTTACAAGTTGGGTAATAGTTTATAGACTTGTTTTCAAGACTAGCAGCCCTAAGTGTCTTCAAACCCTCTATTTTGGGAAGTTAATTTAGTTGAATGGTTTTGTGGAAGCTAGTTGTGCATATGAAGAAATACTTTCATATCATGTATGCTTTATAAATAGCAACACAGACCACTATTTAAAATCCTAAAAATACTTGTGATTCATAACTCAAAGTTGTTTTCTCTGAATCATTTGTAAACTTTTCCTTAGTCTGTGATAAATAGCTCAGAATGAGTGCAATTCTAAACCTCTACCCTCTATTTTTGCTGTCAGACATTTCTTACCCCTAATAAAAAATATTTGTAAGTCCTACACTATGAAGGTTTCACAATGACTTTATAGGAGGGATTGCCCACATACACGTGATTCCTAAGGTAAATGTTTCTTTTGTCTACAATAGAAATATAATGCAAGTCACAAATGTGAATCACATGTATAATTTTAAATTTTCTATTAGCCATATTAGAAAAGTAAAAAGATAAAATTAATAATATATTTTTAACCTAATATGTTCAAAATATTATTTCAACATATCAATATGAAAAATTATTGAGATTTTTTTAATATTAAATCTTGAAATCTAAGGGATATTTTATACTTACAGTGTATCTCAATTTGAACTAGCCACATTTCATGTATTATATAGTTGCATGTGACAAGCAGCTACTATATTGGACAGTCCAGGTCTACTGCAAAAGTATCTTCATAATCTGGATCAGATGATAGAGCTTTTTCTTAAAGCTTTCCATACTGCCATGTGTAATCCCTCTGTGTCAGTGGTTCTACCTCCCCAGCCCTCTTCATAGTCTTTCTCTGCCTCACTTCTGTCTGTATACCATCTTGTACTCTTTGTCACTTCCTTCCGTTTATACCACATATCCTCTCCTTCTTTCTGTCAGGTTCTCTTGCATATTTTGCTGAGATTCTGAGGAGAGAAAGTTCCATTAACAGTATGGTCTCCTACCTTCACACAAAAAAATGTGCTACCAGGGAAATGTAAGCTGATCCCAACAATATCAGTAACCTGGGGAAATAAAGTTCTTCCTCCTCTTGGAAAAGATAGGAATCTCTGATGACAGTGAATTTTGAATAACATATGAAAGACTGATCAGAAATGTGTAACATGTAGCATTTTTTTTCATGAAATGTAGAATAAGAATTAGGTTTTTTGCTATTATTAACACTGTTATAAATCAGTATCAGAAGCCAAATGTTTAGCAGCTACCTCAGAAATGGATATAAGTATACAAGTTTAGTTTTGCTAACTAGGTTAGAGCAAAGGAGCATAAATAAATTTTCTTGCCAGACTATCCTCTCATTTCCCTTCCTTTTTATAGCCTTTTTTTTTTTTTAAGACAAAATCTTGCTCTGTAACCCAGGCCAGACTGTAGTGGCATAATCTTGGCTCACTGCAGCCTTGACCTCCCAGAATCAAGCTGTCCTCCCACCTCAGCACCCGCCCCCCGCCAACCCAAGTAGCTGGGATTACAGGCATGTGCCACCATACCCGGCTAATGTTCTCTATTTCTGTAGAGGCAGGGTTTTGCCATGTTGCCCAGGCTCCTAGACTCGAGCAATCCACCTGCCTAGGCCTCCAAAAGTGCTGGGATTACAGGTCTGTGCCACTGCACCTGGCCTATAGCATTTCTTAGGATTTATATTTCTAAGATATTTCACAATTTGTATCTTTCACAATGTATTTTTTAGCCCCAATTTATAAACATACAAGCATGCAACTTCCTTGTTTTGTTTGGGTTTTGCAAAGTAACTCACAGTCAATGCTGAAAATGAAGAAAACAATTTTATAATAACCTCAAAAAGAATAAAACCTAATATGTTAGGTTTAATTTTATATATGAATACATTTAACAAAATAGGTATGAAACTTACACTCTGAAAACTATAAAACATTGTTGGAAGAAATTAAGAACTTAGAGAAATGGACAGACATCACATGTTCATCTGCTGGAGAACTTAATATTGTTAATATATTTCCCAATTTGATTTACATATTCAGTGCAATCCCAGCTGCCTAGTTGGCAGAAAGTTTTTGCAGAAATTGACAAGCTGATTTTTAAATTCTGTTGAAATGCAAGGTGCCCTAAATAATCAAAAGTGATTTTGAAAAGAACTAAGTTAGAAGACTCAGGTTTCATAGTAAACTTCTTAATTTCAAAGAGTACTATAAAGCTACAGTAATCAAAACAGTGTGGTGCTGGCATAAAGATTGACTTGCAAGTTATTGCAGACTTCTTTTGTCTCTGGCCTCTGAGTTATTCCAAACTGTTAAGACTAATCTACTCTAGACATTTAAGAATTTATTAAAAGTTTAGCTGATATCTTCTTGCCCACTTACAGTCACTTCTTCCAGGAGTCTGCCAAAGGCAAAACAGTTTATGTATTCTGTTATTCTTTGGGAGAGACTTGTCATTGTATGGATTTTAATATAACCTGGTTATCTTAACCAGTTTCTTACTCAGCTCTCTGGTAAACTCTAGAAAAGTTATGATTTTATAGATCATCTGGTCTTTTCTCTTGTTATGGTGGGAAGAACATTCTCTTCTGCTTTCTGTATCCTAAGCAGAGTGGAACTGATAAGGTGTTTGGCATGTAACAGATTTAGCATTCAGTTAAAATTTGTTTAAAATGGGTTAAATTTACTGAATAATTATGTGTCAGGCAGTATGCTAAGCACTTATCATATCATCTCATTTAGTCCATGTACCTATCAATGAGGTGTAGGTACTGTTATTATTCCCATTGTTTAGTGTAAAACTGAGGCTTAGTAGAGAAAAGGAATTGGAGGCACAGGAATAAATAATTATTTTTACTGATATTACCCAAGTCACCTTCCTCCTTCTCCCAATAAAACTCTTCAATCCATTTTTCAACTTCTCCAAGGAGGGGAGATATATTCCTGGCATTCCAAGTTCTTATTTTTCTCATTTGATGGAAAAAGAGACACATTATTAAAACCAGAGAAAGCTTGGAGGGACCTGGTTAGACTTCTGATGAACAGAGAGAGAGCAAAAAAATTAAGGATCTGGTGGCCTTGGGTCATCAACAGTGTCTAGGTTTTATAACAGGTAAATGACAAAATGACTCTCATGGCTTTACTGCCACTTTCCGCTTTCACATTTTCTTTCTTTTCTTCCAGTGTGAAGTTCAGCTTTTTTTATGGGATGGTCGAATTTTTTAATTCATTACCTCCTTTATTAATTCCTTCAATAGCTTGCTATGTGTGCATTCCTTAAGATAGGTCTCAAGCTAAGGACATTAAGTGTAACTACTTGTACCACTTAATTTGTCTTAACAAATGCCTTTATAAGCTGTCTTTTCACCTTTTAATACATCCAACAAAAAGCGAAGTAAAAAAAGTTTTCTTGATTTTTTTTTTTTAATTGTCTTCATTTTTGTTGGCTTCCAGAAAAGAAACTATGATATGAGCCTGGTCAGTAAGCTCAATTAAAACAAATATCATTAATTAATCTCTTCAGCTATTAACTGAGCGTCAGTTTCCAAGATGCGCCATTTATAACTCACCACAGTATTCAGTCTGTGTTTTCTCATGTCCTGGTTAGAGATGCAAGTTGAATTTCATGCATTGCCTGCCTGCTGGAATTTTAACACTTTTTCAGGTATTCCCCATATATAGTATAAACTGGGTGATAAACACCTGATCATTATTGTATCTATGAATAGAGTTAATACAGAAACCATGCCAAAAGTTGAGGAATGGGAACATGTAGAGAAAAGAGGTGATTGTTTATATACAGGAATATATTTTGTAATGGCCAGGTTTGATATAACCAGCATTTACCTGCTTCTTCCTTTCTAGTTATCAGGGAATACGAAGAGCAGAGAAAGCATCCAGGAACCTAGATTTGATTACTACAACCATGAAGTTCCTGATATTGACCTCAGTGATTGTGAATTCCCACATGTCATTGAAATATATGACTTTCCCCAAGAATTTCGTACTGAAGACCTTCTCCGGATTTTCTGTAGTTATCAGTGAGTATGCAAATCATTGTGGATGTTAGGGAGGGTGAGATGAAGTCTTGAAAAAATATTTTCTGAGAAATTATTTCTTGTTTTTCGTATCTCCTGTTTTTCATATTTTAGCATCAGGTTGGTTTATTGTCGTTTCCAGGTCCAGTAGAAATTAATTAAACTACTGGTCTAAGTTCCTTAAAAATGTCAGCTAACCTTGCTAGCCCCCATTTTAGCATTTAAGAAGACTGTCATCAGTGATGACTTCATGGTGCATTTAGTCCATTAATATTTATCGTAATTATTGATATATTTGCATGAATTGTCAGATTGCCTGTCATCTTTATGTGTTTACTTGTCCTTTTTCTTTCTTGCCTTTGTTTGGGTTCATTGCAGCCTCAACCTCCTGGGCTCAGGCAGTCCCCCCAGCTTAGCCTCCCAAGTAGCTGGGACCACAGGTGTGTGCTACCATGCCCGGCTAATTTTTTTTTTTTTTGGAGAGACAGGTTTTCACCATGTTGTCCAGGTTGGTCTCAAACTCCTGCACTTAGGCCATCAGCCCACTTCAGCCTCCCAAAGTGATGGGATTACAAGTATGAGTTACCACACCTGGACTCAACTAAGTTTTTATAAACACAATAACTCTTCTTTTTTATGCTCCTGTTTCATTGGTTTAATTTTATTTAATTCCATGGTGAAAATATCAACTCAAACTGCTGATATAAGTGGGTTTGAGAACACTTGCACTAACCCTTGGTTTGTATGTAGCTGATACTTATATAGGAGAAGTTAAAAGAGAAGTATACCTCTGTATATTTAGTTTATGAAAAAAATAAGCTTTAGGAATAAAGAGAAGATGATCTAGAAAGAAAGTTATTAAGAAGATTTTCAGGGTCTGGAAGAAAGTATCAAGAAGGATTATATTTTAATGTTTCAGTCCTGATATTTTAAATGAGCCAGGTCTATAGTGTCATATAACAAATTTAAATTTAAAATTCATCTTGAATGTGTAATATTCTATGTAAGTTCTAGATTATCAAAAGTTAAGGGCTACAGTATAGCCCTTAACTTTTTCTTAAAGGATAAGTAAAGATTTTAGACAACTCTGCCATTACCATACATAAATGAGCATGGCTATAAACTAAAACTTAATTTATAAAAACAAGTGTTCTGTTTTTATACGAAGTTCTAGAACAGGCAAAACTAGCAGCTGTGTACTTATTGTTTAATCAGTTAAGCAGGGAGAGCATCAGTTCTATAACTGACAAAAAGAAAGGATGAATGAATCCTAGAGGATAGTTAATCCCTGCCATAAACTTTAAATGTATAATATCTAGGTCAGTCTTATTAGAATTAGGTTAAGATCCAGTATCAGAACCTGTTCAACATAAATTTCATAATAGATTTTTTAAAAGCAGTCAGTGGGATCAAATCCTGTGAGAACTACCTTAGTCTGTCATTATTAATAATGATGATTCTTAAAACCAAGGATAATTTTATTGATGTCTAGAATTACCTGAAGATTAGTTAACTCTTACAAACTATTTACTTCCCTTTGCTTTGTTTCTTGATAATCTCACCTGTAAGAGTATTTTTCTCTCAAATTCAAAAACATTCTCCAAAGAGAAAAATTTCAAAGGATGATGAAATTTTGAAGTCTAAAAGGCCCTCTAGAATCCATCTGTGATTTATATAAATGGAAAAAGAAAAAAAAAAGGGGTCATGGTACAAAAGCCTATAGTAATGCCTGTGAGTCAAATTCCAGAGTCAATTTTGATTCTGGTTTTGATCACCATCTTCATCAATATTAATAGTGATGGACATTGCTATTAATAATAAAAGTAATTAACACCATTAATTTATTAGATGCCTATGAAATGCCCAACACCATCTTCTTTGGCTTGTCATGGATGATCTCATTTTCATTTTCACAACAACTCTGGGGGGAGCATACTTTGCTCATTTCTACAGACAAGCCGACCTAGCTTCAAGAGATATTAAACTTGTCCAAGGTCTCAAGGTGGTAGAACCTTGAGTCCATGAGCATTTTTAAGCTCTTAGCTGAAAAAGATAACTGTTATGTCATCATCCTGACATTCCTCGTGCTCACTCGGTAGCTCTTCTCACACACACACATAAAAAAAGTGTTTTTCTAGTACTTAAATATTCATTTTTTTGATCCTTTCTAATCTGGTCTGGTATTTCTCTTATCATGATTTCCTTTATCCCGAATTTTTCTGACTTTGCCACACAATTCTTTCCTATTTTTTCTTATTTTTTTAACCTCCCTTCTGCAACAAGTGAAGAATAGATCAGCCTCTCTGCTTATAGTTACCCCTTTTTCCCCATTACTTGACTTTAAAAAAAAAACTGAATGACATCTTGCAGTATAATCTGTCTCTCCCCACCCCATCCTCTCATTCTCTTTCTGTCTGTGTCCTCAAGGACAGAGTTTACATTTGGATTAAATCCAGGTGACCTTCCCTGCCTACCTACTCATCTTATATTCTACCCCTCCTCTGCTTCCCCTTTCCATTTCTTCTCATTCCCTGCCCATAAGAACATCTCTTGTAAATAGTGCATTAAATACTTTACATCCCCAAGGGACTTGTGAGGATTAATTAGTTGATGTCTATAAAATGGCTGAGAACGTAAAATACTCCTGGGTAGTTCTTTATGATGGTATTATTGCTTTTAAAATTCAATGGCTTCTTCTGTCCTCCAAGCTGTTTTTTGTGTCATTATCCCCATTCCACCTATGTACTCATTGAGTGTTTCTATCTTGTGAAATGCTTTATGAAATTCTATTTGTGAGATGTTTCATAAAAGTAAATTTCATTTTAGGAAATAAAACTTTTTTTGTGTTGCAGAAAGAAAGGATTTGATATTAAATGGGTGGATGATACACATGCCCTAGGAGTATTCTCCAGTCCAATTACAGGTATTCACCCAGTGGGTTTCAATCTTCCTTTCTTACTGTTCATTTTCTCATGCTACTTTTTCTGTTTCCCTTCTATTTGAGCAAGTTGGCATTTTACTCAGCCAGCGTAGGTAATAGGGCAGATACTGGTTTTTTTGAGGTATGGTACTTTGGTGTCCATTCTCCCTTTTCACCTTAGTCCAGTGGTATTTGGAGAGAGAGAGTCAACTCCTTCCAAGGTCATTTGTACACATAACTGTCAGTCATGATAGTACGTAAACAGATTAAGGTAGAGATTTAAGAATCCAGTGGGGCTAAATCTTACAATATTGGTAGTTTTTTCCCCCCCATCCCAGAAAAGTGAATTTAAGTAGCCCTTTAACTTTTCTTGTGAGAAATTGTAATAGATACTCTCTGAATAGATGATTGGGCCTTTTTATATGCCATTGGCCTCATGATAGATCTGATGTAGTGGCATTCAAAGAAAGTAGAGATGTTGAAATGTTGGTTTCTGTCTGAACCACCTAGAATATGGGTCTGCAGAATTATTCTATTAAGGCCCAAACAGTAAATACGGTATTTTAGGCTTTGTGGAGCATCAGGTCTCTGTCACTACTGAACTCTGCTGTTGGAGCAAGAAAGCAGCCATAGACAACATACAAACCAAATGGGCATGGCTCTGCTTCAGTAAAATAGTAATATTATTTTCTAAATAAATATAAAAATAGGTGGTTGGCTGCATTTGGTCACAGAACCATAGTTTGCTGATACTCGATCTAAAATAGTTACTGCCACCTCGATCCTCTAGATCTTATTCTTTTGCTTGCTTTGGAAAAAACAGCGTAACATCTAGGAAATACTAAGAACTATCCCTAGTTTTTCCTTTGCATCACTCTTCTTTATGTCTTCTGCTTCCTTATATTTATTCTTCTTTGCAGCTCGTGATGCACTGGGTATTAAACACACCATGGTGAAGATTCGTCCCTTGTCACAGGCCACAAGAGCAGCCAAGGCCAAAGCTAGAGCTTATGCTGGTGAGTCTATAATCTCTGGGTTTTCTTGTTGATGGTGGTATTATTGTTCTTTCCAGCACTTTATAGCATCCAGACATTTAAAGATGTAGCACTTTTTAGTGTTAAAAGAAGTGTGTTTTTAAGAAAAAAAAAATAAAAGGGAAATGACCATGTTGGAAATATGGCATCTGAGCAGCCACTTGGAGAGTGTGAGAACTACAGGCAATGCAGCAACCAGTTTCTGATAACATCCCTACCTAGTTTACCTCCGGGTTCAGCTGCCTGATAGAGTCACTGTAAGAAATTGTGTTAATGCAGATAATGAAGCCAGTGTTGTTTGTGCTTTGCCATGTTAATTTCCTCTGATCATCATCTATCAGGCTTATATTAATTACTGCTGATGCAGCCCTTGTTAGTCTATTTTGTCTGTTAATTACTGAGTTAAATCACTTGAAGCTGGAGTGCTTTCTCTTCTTTACTCCCTCCTACTCCCTCCATTTCTTCCATTCAGAGTTCCTCCAACCAGCAAAGGAGCGTCCTGAGACTTCAGCAGCCCTAGCCAGAAGGTTAGTCATCAGTGCCCTTGGGGTTCGAAGTAAGCAGAGCAAAACCGAACGAGAAGCAGAGCTCAAGAAACTGCAAGAAGCCAGAGGTGAGCTGAAAGGATGGTGTTTTTCTCTAGTCCCTTAGAGCTCACTGTAAGGCACGTGTTTAAAAAAAAAATATGAATGAAGCCCATTTCATATTGTCATTTCTGTTTCCTAGAAGCCTCCCAAATGTATAGAAAATTTCATGCCTTATGTTCGGGAGAAGACATTTCAGGATTTGTCTGCCTGTTTCACACACCAGGACATCCTAATCCATGCTTCTCCTGTTGTTTTCCAAGTGATTCGTATGGTCTTCTCAGCCCATCCATGGCTTTTCCTACAGTTTTCCTTTGAGAATAATTTTTCTGTGAAAACATAGTAATGTCCTAGGCAGAAAACATTTGCCGTGGATTTCCAAAACGATTGCCATGATATTGCCCTAATGTTATCAAATAGTTTAGATCTGAAGTAGAAGACAAATTTAGGAAAAGCCAGCAACTGACATCGATAATAGCAATTGTGGGAGATATTTCTGTCTTTTAAAGACAGTTCTGAGTGGCTCCATTAAAGTACATCTAGATGTACCTGTCTTCTGATTATTTTCTAGTATCCAAGAGTTCTCAGGAAAATACTTCCCCTGATCCACAAGCAGAGTTTTTCTTTCCTTATGGTTTGCAGTTGAGGTTAAAATCTGTCTCTCTCCTCTATAGGCTGTTGAATTGTACATAAAGGCTTAGGACTCCTGCGTGGCGCTTAAGTACTTTTTATCAACCTTCAAGGCTTTAGACAGTCTCATTGCCTTAGCCCACAATCTCTGGAATCTGTGAAGGCAATTCTGAAAATTCCACTTACTGAAAAGTAACTTCATTTTTCCATTAAACGAATTGAAGTTTCAAACTTCTTGTTTATTGCTGGTCTAACAAGGCCATTAATACTTCCTGTCCTCTCTGCTTTGGTGATAGCAGGCAGCTTGCGGACTCTGAGCTGCACTGGCCAGATAACCAGTGACAGAGTGTGTCATGGCAGGTGCTAGAGTTTGAGTTGAACCCAACTAATTTTTGAAACCTTAATTATTATAATGAGGCAGTTTTGATGGTTTCCAATCATTGTTTACTCAAGGCCTCCTACAGACTATAAAAACATAACCAGATTCCTTGGGTTTTTATAGATTGCACTAACAGAACTAGATTAAAGATGAATGTGCAGTGTCCTTAACCGTTTGTTAATTGGTTATCTCTGAAGAAATGATTTCTGTGAGATAACAGTAGTATCTGTAAAAGGGGACATGACTCCCTTTGCCCATGTTATGCTTCTCTGTGGGTGTTTATCAAATGTATCTCTACAGATCATGCAGCAGTTGTTTTGCGTGGATATCAGCTTGAGTATTCCTTTCTCTTTCTCTAGGTGCATCAGCATGCAGCTCCACTTGAACTATTTGTTTTAAATGTCTGGCTATACAGTGATGCAATTAGAAATGAGACTGTTGGCTAAGTGGGGACCCTATTGCTTTTCTGAAGAAGGCCTTTATTTGTGAAGAGAGACCCATGTGATAAGTTCCTCCTACATGTTGGTGCTGAGGCTGTATGGATTATAGAGGACTCTTTCTTTATTGTGCTCCAGAGTGCTACCATTCTTTGTATCTGGGGAAATGCATCTGGAAATTTTCCTGATGTATCTCTTTCTGGCATCTTTCTGTTTTGGGCAGATACTCATATACTTGCCTGCTTGGAACCCAGGCTTTAAAGATTTTTTTTTTTCTGTGGAAACTTAAAAGTACTGTTTTAGGTATTAGACTCTGGAATCACACTTCCTGGGTCCACATCTTAGCTCTGCCATTTACTGGCTGTGTGACCTTTAGAGGGTAGGTAAGTAACTTGCTTACTCTCAGGAGGCTTCTGTTTTCTCATCCTTAAATGGAACTTAAGTGAGATAATCCATGAAAGATACTTAGTCATCTTCAAAAAGCCTTAGGTACTCTCTTGCTCCTGTTTCTATAGGCCTATAATGAGTTATATGATAGGTGATAGCTGCTGTTGTTTTTAGTAACAATAGCAGTGTCATTATATGATGAATCCAGCACAGATTTCAGTGCATATTTTTGTCATTACTCTTATTTTAAAATTCCTGTAATACCCTATTAGCTCCATTTGACATTCACTGAGCACCTGCCCTATGCCAAGCTTTGTGTTCCCTGTTTAGGAAAATTAGAAAGATGGCAAGATTTTGTACCTCTTCTTAAGCTGTACAATCTAGTGGAGATATCTGCTTTGAGAAGGGAAGAAAATATGTACCTTTTTTAGGTATTTTAAGCCATTGTTTTTCCCCTCACTTTAGTTCTGAAGCTTTTAAGATTAAAAACCATAAAATAGTTTTTGTTGATTCAAAGGACAGGAAAGAAACTCCATCATAACTTACAGGTTTTGATGATATTGCATTATGATAACTCTGTGATACCATCTTGAGTTTAGAGCTGACCAGAGAAGTTAAGTAACTGGACTAAGGTCACCCACCTGGTAAACTGAAAGAGAAGGCATCTGAATCTAGGTATCTCTGGTTAAAACCCATGCTTCTTCTGTAATACTGTAATCCCTCTTGAAGGACTTTGGGATTATTGACATTTTTCCCAGAAAAAAATACTTATATAATACAATTTTTAGAGTCTTCAGGAATAAAATACGACAAACTTCTTTTGTTATCTGTACCAATGATTAGCAGCTTTTCACTCTCAGAAAAATCTTCCTTAGGTCTAACTTAAATCTGCATGATAGTTTAAACCAGTGTCCTCTTATTTTTCCCTCAGTAGAAACAGAGAATTTATGTGTACCATTCTGTTCTAACAACTTTAACTATAAAGATTGTTTGGAAATGAGGAAATCTGGGCTCTAATAGGGCTTTTGCTGTTAACTATCTGTGTGGCCATGGCCCAGTCAGTTATGCCTCTCTGTGCCCCCAGCTTCCGGCAAAGTGAAAGTACTCCTCAGCTTACCTAATCATGGAGAATTTTTTGAGCACAGCATTTAGTTAATATATGTAAAAATGTTTGGAAAGTGCTTTTACAAATTTAGGATACAATTATTGACATGACTGTTAAAAATTTAATGTTCATTATAATATGAACTTGTAATGGCAAATATGTATTATATACTGCCACTCTCCATCCATTACACATGGCAGATATTGCTAATTAGTCATGACATTCTTTCTTGGTGAGTTTTGACGTGACCATTGCCAAATGATCAGAATTAGCATGGGAATTGAAATCTATATAGTATCCTGTTATAATATAGTATGATAATCTCCCAGCTTTTTTTTCACCTGCTTGAAGAGTTCTACTGTCTGGCAACAGTGCCTGGTAACATGAAAAGATACTTAATACATGTTCATTGACCAAATACATGGATGACATTGGTTACTCTTAATTTTTCTTTGTAAATCTTGACTCTACTCTGAATGCTTTTAAGTCCTCCATATTTTTTTATAAAACCCAGAATGAGAAACCTTCCTAATTAATGAATGTTGAATTTGTGATTTTGAGTTTTAAGTACTGTTCTGCTATATTTTTCCCTCTGCTTTGATCTTTTATTTATTTATTTTTGAGGCAGGGTCTCACTTTGTCACCCAGGCTGGAATGCAGGGGCATGAGCACACCTCACTGCAGTCTCAACCTCCCAGGCTCAAGCAATCTTTCCACCTCAGCCTCCTGAGTAGCTGGGACTGCAGGCATGTGCCACCATGCCGGCTCATTTTTTCTTTTTTGTTGAGATGGGATCTCTCTATGTTGCCTAGGCTAGTCTCAAACTCTTGGACTCAAGTGATTTTCCTGCCTCAGCCTCCCAAAGTGCTGGAATTACAGACATGAGCCACTGTGCCCAGCCTAAAATCACATTTTAAAGACCAAACTCAGGGCGGGGCATGGTGGCTCACTCCTGTAATCCCAGCATTTTGGGATGCCAACGCGGCAGATCATCTGAGGTCAGGAGTTTGAGTCCAACATGGTGGAACCCCGTCTCTACTAAAAATACAAAAATTAGCTGGGTGTGGTGGCATGCGCCTGTAGTCCCAGCTACTCAGGAGGCTGAGGCAGGAAAATTGCTTGAACCTGAGAGATGGAGGTTGCAGTGAGCCAAGATTGTGCCACTGCACTCCAGCCTGGGTGACAGAGCAAGACTCTGTCTTAAAAAATAAAAAACGAAATAAAGGCCAAACTAAGGACTGTATATAAAATTTTCCCATGTTCCACTCATCCAAATACTTGGTTCCCACCTAAAACTGGACATATAGATAATCATTATCTCTCAGAATAAGCTACCTTCTTAGTTTCAAAGCCTGCTACAATTTTATTTTAATTTATTTTCATTTTATTCTTGAAGGTAGGGTAGGTGATTAGTTGACTGGTTCTGAAAGGCCATTTTGGGTCACAGGGCTGAAAGGCAAAGTAAACAGTAATCTGTTCACCTCATTCAATTAATTAAATCACCAAGAACTTCAAATCATCTCTGTAAGATAGTAATAAATTTAATCACAGTTGCTACCTTCTGAAAGCCCTTTTTAGGCTTTCCATTACTCTGCCTTAAAGGGCAGTGCAGCATTGCAGATTTATAATCTAGGTCTTAGGGTATTTTTTTGGTGTCTTTTCTCCCCTGATATCTGAAGTTCATTTCTAACCACATTTTCTTTCATTTTAATGTGAATTTTTTTTTTCTGTGATACAGCATTTACTCATATTGTGGTGTCAGTTGCTATTTAATAAACCTGTTACCTTTACCTAGTTGAGAGATGAAAACATTAACCTAGGACTTGCTAACTGACAAGGTTACCAGCTGTTGCTAAAATAAATAGTACAGGGTTCCTTGTGTTGACACTTAATACACTGATAATTATTTTGCTCTCCAGAGTTAAATGCCCCCTTTTGGGATCCAGACTGCATTATCCATATATTACGATTATATAAGTATTCGGTAAACTTAAAATCTAAAACGTAGCTAAAATTAAGAGGTTACTTAGATTACTTCTCCTTGATCTATTACGTCTGTCACTCTATAAAAGAAGGCAATTAGATTAGTTTGACCAGACATGTTCTTCACAAAGCATGTTGTTTACTATTCTGTAGGTGGCTACAGTAGATTTTGTGATGATTTTTCGTAGGCCTAGAAGTAAATTTTGGAAGTCTTTAATTTACATCCTCTTTCTTCACTTTTTTTTAAAACATGACACGAAACTGGCCCTTTTACAGTCTTCAGTGCTTACATTCTCTTGAAAAGTGAAGTCTTGACTGCAGTCTCATGATTGCAATCAACCCATTTAATACAGTCGTTTCTGTTGACTTATTTATTATATTAGATAATGAAAGTTTTCCAGGCCAGCCTGTGTGATTGTTTTAGGTTAATCATTTTGTGCTGAATTTTCTATTTTTTCTTAGTTCCTTGCACTCATGTCTGCTGTTGGGCTTTCTTTTTACTTAGTTTATTCTTTTAATTGTTGGAGGTAAAGTTAGTAGGAGCTTTCTTTCATGTAGTTTATCAGCTATTATATGCCTTCCTTTCTCTTTAATAAAGGGACATGTTTCTTTGTCTATCTGTTAATTTTTTTTTATATTTTTTTCCCTTGTAGATATTTTCAGATGTCAGGATAGTAGACAGTGTGCTGGTGAAGAATTAAGGATCTGGGTTCCAAATTCAGTTCTTTCACTGGCTGTGTAACCTTAGGCAAGTCACTTAAGCTTTCCAAGCTTCCGTTTCCTCATCTTTAAAATGAAGAAATTATTTCCAACCCTGACCTACATTTCACTATTCCATTCATGTTCTTGTATTTCTAAATTTACACCTCACGTTTCTTTGTGCTTCTCAATTTGTCTTCCGACTCTTACTAGTTTTTTTTCATATGACTTAACATTAGAATCTATTTACTTTTTTAGAAAGTGCTGGGAAATGTTTCAGGCTGGGCACAGTAGCTCACGCCTGTCATCCCAGCACTTTGGGAGGCCGAGGTGAGCAGATCACCTGAGGTCAGGAGTTCAAGACCAGCCTGGCTAGCATGGTGAAACTCTGTCTCTACTACAAGTACAAAAAAATTAGCCAGACATGGTGGTATGTGCCTGTTACTCAAGAGCTACTTGGGAGGCTGAGGCATGGGAATTGCTTGAACTCAGGAGGTGGAGGTTGCGGTAAGTTAAGATCACACCACTGCACTCTAGCCTGGGTGACAGAGAGAGACTCCCATCTGCAAAACAAAAAAGGTTCAGAATTGAACTTTCCAGATTTTAGAAAGGTAATATGGTATCTGTGTTTCATAACACCAAAATCAAACACATTAATATTTCTGCAGCAGAGTGTATGACTGTTCACTTTAAATGGGATGTGTAAAGACTATAAGTGGCTTCATATCCTTTCAGGTTAGATTTGCCTCTATCAATGAGTTTTGGCCCCAAGCTTTAAAGAAAGCAATAACTTTGTTTTCAGAATTGTTTTGATTTTAGAATTGTGTGTTATTGGGCCAGTCATATTTTTCTACTGCTCTTGGATGTCTTTTTATATTACTTTTATGATTTAAGTTTCACACCTTATTGAAAAATTGGAGTTCTAATAATTTACTGGTTTCTTCATTTTTCCTTGGAACGTAGAACCAGATTTTGATTGATTTCATGCATTGCCTTTGGATCCCCTCGTAACTTCTCCATGTTTGTAAGAATCAAGACCATTTCTGTCTTCCTAAGAAATTCTAAAATCCTTTTGACAAGCCACTTATCCCTGTCTCTGAGAGAACCCCAGCGCAGTTCAAGCCTGCCTTAGTTCCAGGGCACTCTACCAGCCTTCAGTTTGCAATTTGCAGACCACTGTTTTTTGCCTCTTTGTAACTTTGCTGCTATATTCAGATAATGCCACAAGATGGTGCCCAAATAGCAGTGAATTTCTTTTTCTCACATTTCCAAGTGCCAGTCAGCTTCATAACCAACTTCTTTGTCCTTAAAGTACAGTCAAATATAGTATAGGAATGTTGTGGATTTTACTGATTAGGAAAGATAGAATAGCAAGTGTTTATTCTGAAATTCATCTCAATTTCTGTAATCTTGGTTCATGACTTGCTCAATCTTACACAGACATTATAAATTTGGAACAATAACCCCTGGAAGGAAGCATTTAGGCTTACCCTCTATGATGTAGGCTTATCACCATTTTATGGTGTCAAGATAAATGACTAGCCATGAAATTGGAACTGTTATTGTGTCACCTAAAGGAGTGCTTGTGTCACCACACTACTGTATGGTCTGTATTTTCTCAGACTGTGGTAAAAGTGCTAAATGGAGAACTAAGCTTCTATATTAAAAATTGAAGATGGATTATCCAGATTTGTATATTTTTTGTTTTTAGAAATAGTTTTAGTTTTCCCTATTGGAATTGTATATTCCAGAAGATTTCTGGCTCCTGGAAGTGCTCGAAAATATTGAAATTTGGTTTGCCTCTGAAATATTTTTTCAATAAAGTTGTAGAATTTTTTTCAATAAAGTTGATATGAGTAAAGCCCAGGGGCTACCACTTCCATTTAAGCAACAAAATAGTCAATAACATGTTCTTGATACCTATTGAAATATTTATAATGATCAGTAAGCTGGGAATAATGGGCAATCGTGTTGAAGCACTAAACATAGTTGAAAAGTAGAATTTAAATATGTATTAGCAAGACTAGAATCTGAATCCTACTGGATTCTGACTTATTCCATATACTTTTAATTTCTGTTAGCCTCAGATTTTTTTATTATATAGTTATAAATGTAATGACTTATAGTAGTTATCATTTTCACTTACAAAGCACTTGGGAAGTGAAAGGAATTAACTCTTGGAATCAGCTAAGGGAGACCAGGATATCCACTTGTCTCATGACTAAAGTTTGCCTTGTAATTTGGATTAAGAGAAAGTAACTGATTATATGAAGTGGACAACCATGTTTAACACTGCTCTTATTTACAGAGAGAAAGCGGTTGGAAGCCAAGCAGCGGGAAGACGTCTGGGAAGGCAGAGATCAATCTGCAGTTTGAACATCACTCATTGAAAGGGATAATTCCATGAATCAGAAAATGTTTCCATAGTCTTCAGATAAGAGGATCTTTCCAGAGCTCTGACTACATGCAGATGTGCATGTTAAAGAGATAAAGTGATCAAGACAAGGACTGACTGGGTATAGGCGGAAGACAGACTCCTGTTTTCACTCCTAATTGCAGTACTTTGGAATCACCCTACTATGGTGAGCATAGCAGGAAGCTATCAGCTAGGAAGAAACATGGAAGATGTGACTTCCAAGAGTCCCCTGGACACGGCAGGTCATGTTAGCGTGGGTCACACATCCAAGATGTTGAAGGCAAATACAAAACAGAACAGAGGATTTAAACCTGCAAGGATGGACGATTTAGGCCCTGCAAAGGCAGAGCATTCCTTAATACCTCACAAGACAGAATAATACTGGAGGCAGAGTAGGGGGCGGGCAGGAAGCAGTTAGTACAAAGAGGCAGAACAGTGTCTGGTTTACTTGGCATACACAGAATCTACACTGCCAGTTCCAGAACTCCAAAGTTGGTGAACTATAGCAGATGTGAGTATTTAGACTCCAGAATTTATACTGAGCTCAGTGCCTGGGGTTGCTCCAGCTGCATTGCAGCCAGGGGGCATGCCAGCTTCATTCCTCTGAGTAAGCCAGCCTTGGGAGCTGTGTGCCAGTCCCAGTGTAAGCAGCAGTACTGTGCTGTAAGAGGGAACATTAAAGCCCGTTTTATGACGTGTACCACTCTGGCATTTGTCAATTTTGTCTTTCCAACAAAGAAGTAGGAGAGCAGCTGTCTTCTTATCTTCATGCCTGTAATGCTGTACATGGGTCAAATGGATCTGTTGTTTTGATTGAATTCCAGTGAGTAGAGAATTGATGATCTCTCTGCCTCAGTATACTACAAAAGTGATTATCCTGGCACTGGTATATGTTAGCTCCTCTCCCCTTCATTTCCTCCTTGTGCACCCTCATTCTAACCTTTCTCTTGCCTTCTGCCATCTCTGCAAATCTGATATCCTGCAGAAGACATCTGGCACACCAGCATGTTCTTGGTATGATCTTCTCGACCTATGCCAGAGGTACCTGGCAAGCGGCAGCAGACACAATGACAGGCAGCCAGGATAAAATAAACACCTCTGGGCAGTGAGAGATTTCCTAAAGGATGTGGACAAGTCAAAGCCATCAACTCAGGCTTTATCTATCTCATATCTGCATTCTCAGTGTTTTTGTAAAGTAGGTCTACACTGAAGAAATGGTAGCCCGAGACCTTAGGATGCCAATGTGGCAAGAAATAGTGTCTCATTGTGCTTTCAACTAGGGCAACAGCTTCATTTTTTAATGATTTAGAACCCATGACAATGATGGATTATTAGCATTACTTAGAACATGGTGGAGTAGGGCTCTATTCAAATGTTTCTCAAATGATGCTAGCCTTGGATCTTGGTCCTTACCCAACTATCCCTGCTGCTGTTCAGATATTATAGCCCTTTCTCAGCTCAGCATTGTTTTCCTCATTCTTGGTCAGTTCTGCTACTGTCCTTTGTTCACATTCAGTGACTCCGTGGCAAATTTAGGGATTAAATAAGTTGTTCTCTTGACCCTCTGTCCACTAGTACTTTGTCCAAATGCCCCTCTCTTTGGCCTATAGCAACAAGACTTGTGCTCTCTGTCTTCATGGAACAGACTTCTCTAAGATAGGTCTGTTTGAACAGTGTGGCTACATTTGAAAGGAAATGCAGGGGACTTCATACTGAATGGTAAACCTCTGAGGTTATACCTTTCCTCTGTTTTGATTCTTCAAGGCCAAGAGTGACCTTGGGCAGTACAAAAGAGATGACTCCTCCTGTCACTTGCCTGTGAGGATGCTTCTTTCTGGCTACACTTTAGCTTTTAAAGGCACTGTTAGTAGTAACATATAGTCCCATGTGTATTACCCGGTTTTCTTGTAGTCTTCATAATTTCAATCACTTACTTGGTTCTCATTCTAATACCGCATGCTAGCAGCCTATTCTTTTTTTCAGCCAATAGTCAGCCACCTCTGACTTTCAGGTTTATTCCTATAACCAGACTCAGGGAAAGGATTTTTTTTTTTTTTAATTTTAGCCTACACTTAAATTTTGGAGTGTTGCTGCTTCTACCATTAGTCGAGAATGTGCTTTTTAGTTATATTACTCAAGTATTGGGATTTATGTACACTAGCTGGAGGTAAGGGCTCCTGCTGTGGCCCAGCACAGACTATATTGAGGTTTTCCAGAAGGGAATTAAATCCTTGGGCACATCCAAGCCATGTTTTCTCAAGCTGAGTTAGCTGGAGAGCACCCTGTAGCTGCCACTGGCACCTTTGTTAGATATTCAGGAAGACAGCTAGTGCACTCTGCTGTGCATATGTGTTGAACTTCTAAATCTCAGGATTACCTGGAATTTAGTAGAAAAGTACATTTCTCGTGAGTTCTTATATGCTCTTCACAGAGTGAAAGCCTTTGTAGAATAAAGGTAAATTAGGCTTCTGAAGAATAAGCTGACATTCTTAGCACCTTAGTTTCTCTGAGGCTAAAGTATGCTGAGGTGAAAGTCTTGTGACATTTTTTATTCTGCCTGGAATTTGGTGGTTGGTATTCTGTTACATTCCTCATCTAGTTACAAGTCATGCCAACCACCAGTCTTCCCATGTCCTTCCCTTTCAGCTCAGAGTCGTAACAGCACAACCCTTGTATGGCCTTTTCCAAGAATTAGAACTGGCTGCACCTATCAAACGTGTGATGTGGGCAGCAAGACTGAGACCAGAGCCAGTGGCTGGTTGCCTGGCCTGCTTTTTTAGGCCCTCTTAGAAACTGGATCCAGCAAGCAGCTGTGGGTAACCTCCCTGCCTGAATCTAGTCATCAGTCACCACATGCTCCCCTGCTAGCTGCACATTCTTTCACAGACCATTAGCTGCATGTGTGAGCATAATGTTGTTACTGTTTGGGGGATGTTTGCTGGATCCAACAGGAAATCAGTCCTTCCCTTGTTTACCTAAACTGCCATGCCAAAATATAATGCTCCCTCTGCCTAATGAAGGAGATGAGGGAGTTGAGGAGAGGGAAGGTCGGGGAGAAGGAAGAAAGCACTTCTTTGTATTCACAGAGGGTTCCCCAGAACATGTCCCTTTTTACTCCCTAAGGAGAGGGTAGCTCTTGTGATGTGGTGGGGGTAGTGCTATTGTAAATCTGCTCCATCTGCTACCATTTATTTTGGCTTTGCAGCCTTAATTATGAAAGTTTACAGTCCTCAGACTTTACCTCCTTGCCCCTATCCTTTATCTCTTAACCTTTCTAGCCCGTGTTTCAGCTCTGAGCCTGGGGAGGCTGACTGGGAAGCAGATTCATGTCCGATTGGAGAAATGTAGATGGGTAGTCATGAGAAGCATGTGTGCTCTGTGCATCCCAGGCCCTGGCTCCATGGGAGGGAAAGGGGTGGTTCTTGGGTGAATACATAGTCACAGCTGCTCTGGTCTTTGTAGCAGTCCATAATGAACACCCTTTATTGGCATTAGGGTGTTAGTCCTGTTAGGATCATCACCTAAGTGTGTCTCAGTGGAGAAAAGATCAAGAATCATGTCAAGAAGACCATGGGGTTTTATTCTCCTTGAGCGAGAACAAGTCGCAGCCCCATCAGACAGGAATGGTGGCCTTTCCCAGGTTCCATCCTTAACTAAATTGACTATTCCCCCTTCTGATTTCTCCATGGTCTTCTGTCTCGCTCTGCCAAATTTGTCTTCATACCTCTATAGGGATGAGTGGCTTGACTGATGTTCTTTCCATGGCAAAAAGTTATTGAATGCAAAGTTCACTTTAGACACTTGGTTGAGACTGGAAGCTTAGACCAATCCTGAGATACATGTGATCCTGAGAGAGATCAGACTGCCTGCCAGGTAAATGTTGCATATTTTTTCCTTAGCAGAGGCCCTGGCAGAGGGGCCTTAGCAGAGGGGCTGGGGTGCATGTTACCTCAGCAGTCTTTCTGCTTGGCTTACTCTCACTGCTCTGTAGGAAGGCCCTCTCTGGCCATTTCTGTGAAACTTGCCCCTTAAGCACTCAGTAACTGGTGGTGTTGGCCCATCAGGCAATAAAGGGATGCCCAAGGTCTATGCTTCTAAGGATAGCAGAAGCACCCATGTGTGTGGCTGGATAAAGGTAACGACACTAAAGAACAGACTGTTAAAGTGTGAGAGGTGAGTTCTAAATAACAACAGATGAAGAAAGGATTGGATCCACCAGCTTCTCTGTGAGTTGTGATTTTGATACAAGTTATGTTGCTTTGACCTCCTAGTAGAGAACTAACACCACCAGCTGTGTATTTTGGTCCTCTGTCCTATACTCCTCCAAGACATCTGCAAAGCACCACTTAGATGGGGCCATAGTCTATCCCTAAGGAACTGAGAGCTCCAGGATCTCTGTGGTAAGATTCAGGGTTGACTGGGTGTCCTTATAGAAGAGCTCAGCTGTGCAAAGCCTGGAGGCCATATTCCATAGGCCACAGGCCCTTAGGGGACAGGCCCAGAGCCATCCAGAGGGAGCAGTACCATCTGGATTGGTGATCTTGCCATCAGAGGCTTCCTGAGCAGGTTCTTTGTGCCCCTTGGTACTGGCCTTTTTCCTCTGAGTTGGGACTCTGTGAAGGGCATGGCTCCAATAAGCTGAGGTATCTGGTGTATCGGCAGCAGGTAGGAGTGCGCAGTGATGGCTTCAGATAAGGTTGTTCCTGAGACGCTGTTCCTGCTCCAGGGAAAGTTCTGCATTGGCTGGGTATGAATTCCCTGTAGGCCAAAGGAAAGTAGGTAAATAGCCAACCTTACCACAGTCTCATCCCTTCCCTGACAACTTCACATAGATCCACTCTGCCCAGCTCATCCTCTATCTCAAGTCAGT